ACAATGACTACTTGAGTAGCATGCAGTTTTTACATTGATTTTCGATGGTCTCATAAATTAAAATATATTTTATAAAAAAACATGCACAAAAGTGTTCTTCCTTTTACTCGTCCAGTAGAGAACCACGTTGTCTTCACATTTTATACCCGAAGAAAGTGCATACTTAGGTTTGGAAAAAGTTCCTAATTATTAGATTTTCTAAGACCGTCCGGTTTTCATTCATGCATCATCGTACCTGTCCGTTTATCAATGCTTCTCTATAAATGTACAACATAGCCCGCATCCAATGTTAAATTTGATGAGCCCTGTATGGTATCTTTTTAAAGGCATAGAGGAATATATGATTGTCCATACGCGGAACGCCTGCACCTCGTAGACTGAAATCGTTAAATGATAATGCGAAGGCTGATCAGGCTTAAACTTATTCTGAAATTGGGAAACTTTTTCGAAAACTAAATATACACTTTCTTCGGGTACAAAATGTAAAGACAATGTGATTCTCTACCGAACGAATAGAAAAAAGCATATTTTGTGCATGTCTTTTATAAAATATATTTGAATTTATAAGACTATTGAAAATAAGTGTGAAAAATGTACGCCACTTAGGTAGTCATTTTTTGCCTAGTGTGGTTTCTACATAAGGTCGAGAAGGGGTGCATTTCAATGCAGACATCCTGGAGAGTCTGAAATCTTATAAAATTATACCGCATAATAATCAATATTACAACCTCACCAAAGTAATTCCTCCTAGTCGGGAACGCATTTTAGAATTTCAGCCAACATTTCATGAGATCGGTCACTTACTGTATGCTTTGTTCAACAGACTCCCATAACCAATGCTTTTTTCAGTGAAAACGAGGTCGCTTTACTTGCTGTTATATTCTAGCTGTCCCGACAACCTTCCCAGCTGCAAGAGTTCGCACATCATTCTCTACTAACCCTATTTTACGCGGAGAAGGCAAGGATAGGCTGCCACCTCAGACCATCTCAGTGTACATCTACTCATCCGCTCTCTCCAGTGGAGTAGGTTATATGAGTCGCACGAGTCGGCATCTTTCCCCGCATGGCTGGCAAAAGGCGAAACTAGGAGAATAGACAGCGCCATCCTTGCGCATGCAGTGGATTCAGAGCATCGTGTGGACCACGCTGAAGCATTTCGCCTGATTTATAAGGTCCAATCGAGCTACCCTGAGCTACTGGGCCAGCCCCTGTTGGCAACAGCAGAAGCGGCCGCCATCAGGTTTCGAAAACCGACCCTACGCGCCCAGAAGAACCTCGTTCAGACTCCGCGCTTACCGTGGTCAAAGGTGGACTAACCACATACAACTTGCTGCGCCCTTCCGTTCTTGCTTAGTCTGTGTTTCTTAAAACTAACTTTTATCGATTTTTTTCAACCACTGTACTGGCCTGAAGAGAAGTTATCGAAAGCAACGTTTGCTAGCCACCTTGTCTTCTGAAACAGTGATTTGCTATTTAGGGAAGAAACCATCACGGAGGACTGGCTATTAATCGATGGCTTCACGGATCCGATTTGAAGATAGAACCCTTTATAATGAGTTCTCTGGGTGGCCAAATCGGCTATAAAAATAGAACCCTTTGTAGCCGTCAGGGAGGCTAAGCCGCAAGCGACACTGCGGGCTCATGCATAGGTCTTCGAAGTTTTTGTTGATTCTTCTTTTCTACGTATGGCTGAAATAGAAAAAAAGTAACAAAAACAAAGTATGTGTGTGTTGAGGACAACCAGGAGCTGCGAGGCATGTAGTTGTGATTATTACTGCCTCTTTCAGACATATAAAAAGTGGGACGGCTGGATAAGGCATATTGCAAACAAGCCGGTATTCTGAACCGGAACCGAGCTGTTCAACAGTAAAGATTGGTATGCAGGATTGAATCAGTTCTACTGCACGAGAAATCTTGGCTTCATTTGTCTCAAATCATCAGAAAAAAATAAAAATAACTGGACTTGAATGCTTTGCAGCCTCCACCAGGTCCAATCGACCATTCATTGACTAATTGGTATCTTTTCTGCCACTGGAAATTCCTTCTTCGGAACAGAACATTCCGAGACCCAGCGGTTATAAGGGATGCATGCCTGCAGGGCCTTTATTTCGAATTTAAATAATTGGTTACGGGTGACGTATTTTGCGGTATGGAGGCCAATAAATAAAAGGGATAGTGGAATGACCATTCCCGGTTTTGCTGCTAACCTCAGTCAGTCAAACCCTAACATCAGGACTAAAGGAGCCGATTTTGGCGCCAGCACTCGTCAGCAGCTGAACGCTAGAATAAAAACGCTATCACTGAGGTATGGTATGAACCAAGCCGCCCGGTCGGTTGCGCTAGATGAGAGTAACTGATGTGGAAATGACGCCACATCGACTGCATTCAGGACAGAACGCGCTCGTTTCACTTCGCTCTGTGAAGGAGCATCTGTGTGGACACCTTGCCAGTAGAAAGATACTGAAGCTAATGAGGCATACTTTGATTAAATAAAATTCGTTGAAGTTTAAAGTATGGCCGTCCATTCCACAGCTACATAAGCCCACGCCTCAGGTAGAAGACCCTGCTGCGTGAGTCGTCTAGAAAATTCCCTTCTCGCTTTCCAGTCATGTGACTGCCAAGGTCTGGGCGTCTCGCGTAGCCCTTTCGAGATCCTATTGCAGGCCCCTGCTGCAACTTGGCGCTTCTCTAGCGCACTTACACGCGCGTACCAGTGACAGTCTGGTTCTCGGCCAATCACGGCTATTCAAATTGGCCAATCAACATCAAGGCTGCTCAGGCGTCCTCGCTCAAGGCACTCTGAAGTCCGCCCCATGGAGCACTCGGATGCGTGTCTTCGTCCGACTGCGAACTTATTCCCCACTCGTTCTGCACATAATGCAATGCTCTCTCTGTGTTGGCATCCAAATACTCCTCCACCCAGTCGGGATCGGGCCGTAGTGACTATGGTCTGCCAATGGTTTGAGCTACAGCGACAAATCAACCCAATACACATCTATCGCTGTGGAGTAGTGACAGGGCGCGCCCCCCCCCCGCACATATCTGACCAGGGCTCAGGACGATATGACTGACGGACTGACTTGTAGCTGGTCACCGGTGGCAATCCTGCAGAAAATCGACAGTTCCGTCGGGTGACTGACACCGGGGACAAAGTGAGGTCCAGGAGAACGTACGCGCTTTGCCATGGAACTTGAACGATCGAAGCCCTGCCGTCCTCACTAGCTTCACCGTCTCAGGGGATGTGCATTGTGTAGCCCGGGGCCAAAACCCAGATTAGACCTTCTCCTGCATCGGTGTGAATTAATCGGGGTGTGACTGTGAGAAAGAAAAACGGAGCTTCCGCAAGTCCTAACAGATCTGCTGCCAAAGTGGAACGCGAAGAACATGTGACAGCTGTTGTGAAAAGTCGACGTTTTCACAGGCCGCGCCCAAGTGAGAGTGAGTATCAGTTGCCTGTTGGCCCTGACGATTGCCAAATGCTCTGCCCGAATAAGGCAACTCTGAGCCCACAAGCACGTGAAGATGTTTATGCGTGGGTGGGGGTGTGTGTGTGTGTGCGTGGCAAAGGGCTTTGCTCGCCATCTCAGTGCCAGTTAGGCACCAAATTCATAGATGGTATTCTAGTGGGGACAAGGTATGGGTCGCGCCAGGCCGTTCAGGCTGTAGCAGTATCGTGAATCATTCCAAATGCGCAGGCTGGCAACTCGCTGCGACTCCTGGGCTCGAAGATCAAATTCCTCATCTACCGTCCTGGCACTTCCCAGAAACTCCGGAATTGCATCATTAGGCTTTCCAATTTGCAGCGAAAAAAACTTACGCCCGTTGCACCGGTACAGGGCATCATGGTTCTACAGTTACTGGTCTGGGTACCACTGATTCACGACAGGGATGGCAGGAACTCGAGGATCATAGCTTTCTGGGTAGTCAGAAGTTTGACTTAAGCATGCCTCGTCGGACACTGGTCCTGCGGGAAGCCTGACATAGGGATGATTTCCTGTAGCCAGCAAACTGGAGGATAGACTTTCCCATCTGCCCTGCCCCGCTCACAACGATGAGCTTCCAGAACTGCGTCGCTATCATGGTCGTACAGCACATCCTCCACTGTGCTTGTGCCGCAATGATTCAACTCTCTGACTGTGAGATGTTTGGCTTGACGACTGTCCACCAACTGCCTTCACTGTGGTGTACCTTCATGTAGGTGTGCTTGTGAGCTCTTGAGTCGCATCTGGGCCACACCACGGTCTGCACCACAGATATGTCGAACCAGAACTGGAGACAGACTGACTCACAACACGTATTTATCAGGCCGCGCTGAGATTGTGCGGGTCCAAAAATACCGCCGTAAATACGTGTGGTGGTGATACACTGTAAATGTAGGCGCTCACGTCACATCAGCCATTGCATCCAATCCCACCAACAACTGCCTGGCAGGCTCGAAGAGTCGACGATACTGGGGAATCATTCATCCCTACTTGGCATCCGCGCGCTCCTCCCCAGAATAAATCCGACGTGCTTGAACCCACTCCGACGCTACTATTACCACGGTCACTACTACTACTACTACTACTACTACTACTACTACTACTACTACTACTACTACTACTACTACTACTACTACTACTACTACTACTACTACTAATACTACTACTACTTCTACCACCGACGGTTCGACCGTCGTGCCCGACGATGTCCACCGTGCGCTCCACAGGAGGGTGAGGGAGGCACGATGACTTGCGCAACATCTACCGCACTCTTTTTCGCCCCGCCTGGGCCGCTGACAGGACATAGTCAAGAAGGCCGAAGGCGGGAGGAGACCCAGGTGGCTGGCACGGCCGGACCCCCAAGCTGCCGCTCAACTCCTCACTCCCTGGTCCACAACAAACACGTGACCACACACCTCAACCCTTAGTCTGGCGATTCATCGATGCCTGCATTCTTCCTCTTATCCTATACTGCTCTCCTGTCATTTTTCCTGCCTTGCTTAAAAAGGGTCTTTTAATTTTGGAACTAGTCCTCCGCATGCTCTCTTCTGCTGCTGGCGTTTCATATCTTTTTTTAGTTGACACTATCTTACAACGACACTTCAGTGCGGTCAAGCAATTTGCTGGTCGAATTCTAGATGACGTTGCCCATCCCTTACATTCTAATCTTATGTCTGCGAAGTCTTCCCGCCCGATGCGCCGCAGCTTCCCACTTATATCCTGTCGCACATCGGCTTATCAAACTTCTGTATTGTCATTCCTAGCGCGCTATCTTAAGTTCGAAGAGATAGAAATACAGAAGCTAAGACTTGAACTGTCCTCATAATAATCGTTTCTTTAAGTTGAACTTTGACTCTTGAATAGTCAATTAACTTATTTACTGCCCATAGTGAATGGAGCCAATTTTTTGCTGAAAATTCTGAACTTACGATTTCAAAATAAAGCGACTTCCTCCTCATCATCATCATCATCATCATCATCTTCTTCTTCTTCTTCTTCTTCTTCTTAATTTTTACCAACGACAGCACAACAACAGGTCAGAAAGACGAGGATGACTGGACAGTGAACTACTACTACTACTACTACTACTACTACTACTACTACTGCTGCTACTACTACTACTACTACTACTACTACTACTACTGCTACTACTACTACTACTACTACTACTACTACTACTACTACTACTACTACTATTACTACTACTACTACTACTACTACTAGAGCTTATTGTATTGTATTGTATTGTATTTTAGGGTAATACTTCTACCACAACCGACGCCACCAGCATTTTGTTTTCCCCCGAAAAAGCAGCTGGGACAGGAGGTTTTTAAGACCGTGCGATGTCCACAGGTACAGCGTCACACATCTCCGTTTACCAATGCATCTTGTGAAACGTACAGCATAGTCCATATCCACTATAAAATTTTATGAACTCAACATGGTATCTTTTTAAAGGCATAGAGTAATATATGATTGTTCGTATGCGGAAAGCATGCACCTTGTAGACTGGAATCGCTATGTGGTAATGCAACGACTGATCTGGCCCAAAATTATTAGGGTACTGGAAAACTTTTTCAGAACCTAAATATACGCTTTCTTCGGGTATGAAATGTAAGGACAGGCTTTTTTTACCAAACGAGTAAAAGAAAGCATATTTTTGTGCATGTTTTCCATACAATATATTTGAATTTATAAGACCATTGAATATTAACGTGAAAAATACATGCTAAGTAGGTAGTCATTTTATACTCAGTGTGGCTTCTATAGGAGGTCGAAAAGAAGTGCATCCAAAAGCCCACATTCTGGCGAGTCCGACATACTATGGAATTACATCGTTTGATAAGCAATCTTAAAACCCCACCTAAGTAATCCTTCCTAATCGAAAACGCATCTCAGAATTTCGGCCAACATTTCATCAGATTGGTCACTCACTGTGCGTGATTACTTTCGGGCAAGGTATTCAACATGCGGTGTGCTTGAGGGTGACAGACGTCCTGCTGCGAGCAGTGGGAATAAATTGATTTGCCGTCAATGTGGTGTCGCATACTATGGTGCCGTATCAAGCTCGAGTCGGACTGGGTGCTGCCGCATTTCCGTGAGCAGGCGACCTGATAGGATGGGTCTGTATGGGACGCGCTGTCGACGGATACCCAATACAGTGTTGCGTTATTTTACAGTCAGAGGCCAGTGAAAAGTTGCTCAACTACAGTGGGTGACCGATCTCATGAAATGTTGGCTGAAATTCTAAAATGCGTTTTCGATTAGGAAGGATTACTTGGTTGCGGTTGTAATACTGATTACATTGTGGCATGCTCTAATAACATTTCGGACTCGGCAGGAGGTCAGCTTTTAAATGCTTTTTTTTCAATCTCCTCTAGAAAGCGTGCTCGGTAAAAATGACTACTTAAGTAGCATGCATTTTCCCATTGATTTTCAATGGTCTTTGTTATTCAAATATATTTTATAGAAACCACAAACAAAAATGTGCTTTCTTTTAATCAATCAATGGAGAATCACGTCTTCGTTATATTTCATACTTACGAAGGGAGTATAATCAGGTTTTAAAAAAGTTTTCTAATTGCCGAATAATTTGGAGCCTGCTCATTCGTTGCATTAGCGCATAGTGATTTCACTCTACAAGGTGCATGCGTTCCGCGTAAAGAAAATCACATATTTTTCCATGCCATTAAATAGTTAGCATACAGAGTCCATAAAATTTTGCAATGGATGCGGAACATGTTGTACATTCCATGAGGAGCAGTGGTAAACGGACGGGTACGATGCTATGCGAATGGACATTTCGCGGTCTTAAAAAGTCTCATAATTATGAACTTTTTAAAACCCAATTATACTCCCTTCTTGAGTATAAAATATAAAGAAGGTGGAATTCTCTATTAGTTGACTTAAAGAAAGCATATTTTGTTCATGGTTTCTATAAAATATATTTAAATTTCCAAGACCATCGGAAATCAATGGGAAAATGCATGCTACTTAAGTAGTCATTTTTTACCGAGCACGCTTTCTACAGGAGATTGAAAAGAAGTGCATTTAAAAGCCGACCTCCTGCCTAGTCCGAAATGTTATAAGAGCATGCCACAAGATAATCCGTATTACAACGGCGACCAAGTAATCCTTCCTAATCGAAAACGCATTTTAGAATTTCAGCTAACATTTCATGATATAGGTCACTCACTGTACAGTTTTGGCTGAGTGAGAGCGCGCAAACGGTTGGTAGTGAACGCTGGTACAAGTGCATGACCTGTGTGCTCCACATGAGCGCGTTAAGGTCAGACATCAGTCGATCAATCAACGAACCGGCATGAGGTGTGTTGCGAATGGTGCTGACGATGGGTGCGTTGATGGGACAGTCGCGTAGGATGGAACTAACCCCTCTCCTCCCTCTTCAATGCTTCCATGGCAGGACTGGGTCGGAACCATTTGTGATGAGGGCTGTACAGAGGTTGGCTCAACGACGGCCTGATTAGTTCGTTGCAGTGTTTCACTCGTTGTCCTGCCGGACTTTCACCACCGGTCGGCCGACAGGTTCGATATCGGGGGGAGGGAATTTCGCCTGGTCCTGAAGTGTGCTTGGTAAGATCCTAGTTCGTAGCCGCACCAGTTAGAGGTTAAGGTTAGGGGTCTGGAGTTAGGGTCAGGGGGTGATGGTTAGGGGTTAGCGTCAGGGTTAGGGGTTGGATTATGGATAGGGGGTTAGGGGGTTATTTTTAAACCCCCTATTACCACCGGTCCCGTATGACAGGCGGCGGGAACTTGTCTTCTGCAGGTGCGGCTGCGAACTACGATCTGACCGTGTCTGTCCTTTCGCATGCATTTTACGCCACAGTAAATATGTCGCGTTTGAAGCATCAAGATGAGCTAAAAGTTGTGACCTGGAAGGTCTTCAGCTAACGCGTCAGACTGCGGTGACTTTTGTGACACCGCCTCCCTGCCAAGTCCCAGGCCCGTAAGTAGCATGAGATAGGCAACGAATTCACGCCACGTCAGTCCCGGCGTCCAATAACAGCTCCACTCAGGTGATGAAGAAGAGAGATAGAGAGGGAGGTAGGGAGGTGGGGCCTTAGGTCCACACGACGTATAACTCGATGTACTTCGCACCCATCGTAAAGATTGGAAGGCTGCCAACTGACGAGATAATTTGCTCCCTCTGGGAGGCAGGTTGCAACGACTTTTCTGGAACTCTCACTCCTACGAGGACTGAGGCACCTTCGTTGCGTGGAGTCCGAACCGGCAAGTGTGTAAAGACAAAGATGGATAAGCAAACTGCCAGCCAGGACACCTCAGAATGCCTTCGATGGTCGCTGTCTTGCCTTGCCGTCGGTCTGCTTCGCTTTATTGGAAGTTACCGCCGCATCCCCCAGTCGTTCGCGATGGTTGAACTATCACCGGGGTTTCATGGATAGCGGCTGGCCTTGTGGCGGTGTGTTCGTGCTAGGTCTGTGAACACATTCATTTGGCTCTTTTAGAGTAATGTACCGCGGTCTCCGCCAAACGCAATTCACGCATTGGCCTGGTTAGACACCTGCGGATTCACGACAGTACGACAGAACTAGTGTCTGGAGTCGTTGCTAACACCCATCACATCCGATCTCCATGCCTGCGTCGTCTGAGCATAATCCTGTCTGATCATATGCGCATTGAGAATAAATACCAGCCCTCCGGCTGACACTCATCCTGCAAACGCATGGCACCCTTCAGCCGTTTGCTTACATATAACACTTACCCATCATTCAGGCATAAATCCTACTACGAAGTTTCCCAGTATCGTTAATGACGAAGGTAGCAGCAGGTGTCGCTTCGAAAAAGACATGAAGTACTGAAGTTAACGAGCGTCCAAACATTAAGGACTCTGAAATACCGAACTACCAAAAGCCACATTCCCCGAGAGATAATCTTAAGGAGTCGACGACTCTTCGGTCTTTCCTGCGTAAGACAGTTGGCTCCTCATGCACAATACAACTCAACGTTAAAAAGGGTCTGCCAATTAACTGCCAAACTTTCGCGACGACCGAAGACGTTCTCAGCCGGACGACAGCACACCACAGTGAAGCAATTTACTTGCGCGACTATCTAATATGGTGGAGGGGTGTCCACCAATCGTTCTTACGGAACTCACTCGTCCCGTTGTGCCTCACAGCCTCTCTCTCGAGCCCAACTAGCAACCGCACATCGGCGCATGATATAGGCAGGATGGCATTGCTTACAAAGACAAGGGAGACCGGGATGGTCATTTCTGGCTTATTAGCCGTCGTCAGCCAGTAATACCCAATACCGAGGTGTGGAAAACCTCGGGCTCGAACTCGTGACCTATTAGTTAGAAGTCCAACGTCTCTCACCACTAAACCAAGGGCTCGTTGTCCTGTCGGCCTCGATCGGGAATATATAATGATAGAGGGGCGCTCGTCGATAGTTTTAACGGAACTCACTCGTTCCGTTGTGCCTTACGGGCTCTCTCGTGCCCAACCAGCAGCCGGTAATGTTATCCTGTCTACATAATGTGCCGCTGTGCGGCTGTTGGTTGGGCTCGAGAAAGACCCCGTAAGGCACAACGGAACGAGTGAGTTCCGTTAAAACTATCGACGAGCGCCCCTGTACCATTATATATTCCCGATCGAAACCGACAGGACAACGAACCCTTGGCTCAGTGGTTAGAGACGTTGGACTTCTAACTAACAGGTCGTGGGATCGAGCTCCAGGTGTTCCACACCTCGGTATTGGGTATTACTGGCTGACGACGGCTAATAAGCCAGAAATAACCACCCCAGTCTCCCTTGTCTTTGTTGGTAATATCATTCCGACTATCGACTATCTAACAGGACTGCGATTCCACGTAAACCGCAGACCCCTATGAGAAGACAGGACTACCGATTTGGGCAGTTGTTTTAGGAAGTTAAGAAAAGCGTTCCTTTGCTGCACCTATGCCGACTTTCAGGGGCATGAAACCAGTAATTTGCTAGGGGACTGAAATACAAAAGTTAAGAACAAGCACATTGTCCCTAGCTGCCCCACAGCTTCTTTACCTGCTTGGTCCTCGTGTCCTTAGAAGTAGATTTCGGCTGAAACTTGTGATTACCTCACAATAAAAGCGTGCGCTTTCATAAACACAAGGGCGGGCGTCAGTATGGGCGGCGTGCTGACGGCGAGTGCACGCTGAAGAGTCTCCTGCAGACCTGTCCCGTCTCCCAAACGCCACTGCCGCCGCCCCTCCGCCCGCCTCAGTTGCTACCGGCCGGCATCCAAGGCCATCCCACCGCGTCCCTCCCTCCCACCCCCCCCCCACTCCACGCCCTCCAGCACCGTGTCGTATGAAAAGCGGAGTTGGCATGTGACCAAGTCATTTTGGTGGAGAGTTTACACTGATCATACACACGCGCGCACTCGCTCGCTCGCCCGTACGCACTCACGCGGCGTCCACCGCGGCTGCTGCTGCTGCTGCTATTCCTCAACCGGCCGGCAAGTGGGACAGAGGGCGAGGCGCGGTGAGTTTCATGCAGCGCCATCCCCTGATGCTGTGGTTTTGTGGAGCTGCCCGCAGCGGAATTGGGAGGACGGCGCATCAGTTCCGGTGGTGCCCCTAGAAGTCGATACGGTCGAAAAAACGAATTCCAGAAAGTAGGTGGGAGGCAGGAGACGCGACCGCTGAACAAGAGGTTTATTCGCCTCACGTTTCGGGCTCACTGTAGAGCTTCGTCATCATCTCTACGGATGTTGATGATGTTGTTGATGATGATGATGATGATGATGATGATGATGATGATGATGATGACGATGATGATGATGATGATCCTGACGTCGCTGCCGCCGACAATAATAATAATACAATGGTGATGATGTTGTTGTTGCTGTTGTTGTTATTATTATTGTTGTTGTTGCTGCTGCTGCTGCTGTTGGTGATGATGATGATGTTGATGATCCTGACGTCGCTGCCGCCGCCGCCGCCGCCGCCGACAATAATAATAATAATACAATGGTGATGATGTTGTTATTGCTGTTTTTGTTACTATTATTGTTGTTGCTGCCGCTGCCGCTGCTGCTGCTGCTGCTGCTGCTGCTGGTGATGATGATGATGATGATGATGATGATGATGATGATGATGATGATGATGATGATGATGATGATGATGATGATGATGATGATGATGATGATGATGATGATGATGATGATGATGATGATGGATCCAAGCTTGAATCCAAGGCTCCCAATGAAAAATTCCCGGTTCCTCGATTGCGTTTCCATATTTTCGGTTCTCCAAACGCTATGTGGGCAGTCCGGCCACTGCGCGCTCAAGAGAAGGACGAACTCAAGGCCATGACTTGGGCGTGAGTTAGTTTGTGGTATTGGTGGTGGTGGTGGTAGTAGTAGTAGTAATGCGTTCTTTACTTCCTTATCCGAGACAGGGCGACCGCAGGCGGGCTCGGGCGCGGTATTGAACAAAGCCGAGCAACCTGTCTACACGGGCCGCACACGACCTGGTACCCTCATGATGTTGCGACTTTTCGGAAAACTGGAAAGGAGACAGGGCTACAGGACGAAGTGACAGTTCGACCGTCGATTTCGACGATGTCCACCGTGTGCCCCACAGCTGCAGCAGCGGTGGGAGCAGGGACGGTGACTTACGCAGGGGTTTATAGTGCCAGTAGACTTGCGTAGCATCTACCTACACTCTCTCCTCCTCCCCCGCCTGGGCCCGGTGTCAAGACAGAGTCAAGAAGACCGGAGACGAGGGAGGCCGCAGATGGATGGCTTGGACGGATCCTCACCTTAGCGTTCCACCACACCCCCTGGTCCACACAACAATAACCAGGATTTGAACCAACACAACATAGATTTGGAGGCTGGCACGGCCGAAGCCGCACCTGGGCGTGCCGCCAACGCCTGGCTCGGATCCCACACTGTGGTGGGAATGCCATAAAGGCCACATTAAAAAGGAGCCATTGCAGCCTGACTCTCAGACCGCCTCCCGTTAAGGAGGAGGTCCAAGGCACCCCGTCGGTTGGCAACCTTCCAAGCCACGGCTTTTAGCGCACCGTGATAGCTTCAAGCGCGTCAGATTGTTTATAGTGAGGAAAATGCGCTGAGTCGTCGACCTCACTCTCCCTTCCCATTCCCACACCCCAGCCACTGTCCGAGCCGGTCAGTAGACTGGAGTGGGGAATGGGCGCGGTGGCTGACATGGTCGACTGACCATGCCTGCGCGCGCCACAGCACGACCTGGCCCCCCATACACACA